TATATAACTCCAATTCATGCAAAATTTGACAAAATATAGCGACAAAACTACTTTTGAGGTACAAATCCTAAGCCACGGCACCGATAGTTTAGGCCTATCCTTATTATCAGCTCTTGAATTATTTGCGACAATGTTTGACTGAATATAATTGAGTTCGTGGTCTGAAATCCATGGATGATCTTTGGGCTCACTTTTCACAACCACTGTCCATACAATTACCCATAAAACTCCAATCATTGCTGTATAAATAATTTAAATACAAACATACAGTATATTATAAATAGTTTTACAAACTTAACTATTTAAAAAGTTACCAGGTACATAAAAGACTGAAGGCCAGCCTCCGGCAAACCCATGCTCTGCTAAGTATCCAGATAAAGCTTGTGTAGCAATTGTGCCAATATTTGATCCCATTGTTGGCATTGCTAGAAATGTGCTAAAAGTTTCGAGTAGTTAAATAAAAATATAAGTTAAACGTTATAATACAAGTTAATTTATAATACACTTTATATATAACTATATTTGTGCAATTCTTAAACAATATAATATACCTGCGCTCGTGGTCGGGCGCCCATTTGGCAATCAGAGCATAACTCGCTGGAAATATAAATGCTTGAAACATACCCAACACTACACGACTGGCCAACAGTAGCCAATAAGGACCCGATTTTGCTATAAGTGGTGTCAACGCGTTAATTACTAAAGAGGCGGCTATACCTCCAGTGCACAGCCATTTGGCACCGAAAAGTTCGGCCAGTCGTCCGCCGAGCACTTGAAACAAGAGGTATCCGTAGAAAAATGCCCCCAAAATGACTCCTTGTGTGCTCTCATCCCAATCAAACTCTCCCGAGTTGTGACTTTTGGTGCTGTTATTGTCAGCACTGGTCGCACAGATATCACTGCTCCGAGAACTGGATTTGTTAAACTTGGCCATCACTACAATAGCTGTGCTTAAGTTTATGCGACACATATACAGCATAACTGTACACAATAAAGTCAGCACCGCTACAATATACCGGATGGGTATACAGGGTGCATTACCCTTTGGTTTGTCCATGGTAATGTGTGTTGGTGTCTCATTCATTATAAAATTAATTAAGCCACTTTTAAATATAATTTTGAGCAATAATTTTCAATTAAGTTTGTTAAAAGTGCAACTATTATTCTAACTATTAATTAATACCACATGATTTTATACCTTAATAATTTATTTGTGATAAATTAATCTGTCTGTCAATTCTAATCATCATTATAATGCGAGTAATCTTTCTGCTTGATTAAATTAGCAGTTAATTGCCCTAAAGAATATTAACTTCTTAAGCATAATAAACTGCTTTATTATTGGAAATTAATATTAGTTTAAATACAACCCCTAATTAGTAATTATTATTATTTAATTTGGTTTTATAAATTACAATTAAATTGTTTGATATCAATGCTTGTTTCAATTAAATAAACTAGGTTATGTAAACAATTATTTTACAGATTAAGACATTTATATTTTAATGATAAATAAAACAAATGAGTTGTAATATGGATTGGTTTTTTGTATTTATAAACTATTATAATTAAGCATACTAAATTGAAATATTTTAGCTCAAATTCAAAATTAATTATATAATACATTGAAATGTCCATATTTACATTTTTTATTCTAAAATGTTATTAACTCTATTAATTAATTATCCTATTTAGATAGATATTTTTAGCATAAATTGGTACTTGATAACTATTATGTACACATGAGATATAATTTTTTATATGCTAAATTTTAGTGATAGTAATCTCTTCTGTGCGGTGTTCTTCATCCATATCCCAATCCTGTCGTTTTGCTGATCCAAAAATGGCGAACACAAGTCCTCCCAATATATTGATTGAGGCGGACATATAGAAAACATACCCCCATTGCCTCTGTGTTTGGTCACTGGCCTCCAGTATATACCCGACTACAAGTGGTGTTATAACACCGGTTGTAAACGCTATGGTATTTGCGATTGAAAACACTGTTGCGGTAAAATTTCCGGTCATATCTATGATAATAATTTAATTAAATTTAAAAACGTTATAGATTTCATTTATTAATAATAGAAAATAACAAATTATTATTATTAAATTATTATAATTACCTGCGACTACAGCATTATGACCACCAGAATACATACCAAACAATAACATTCCCTATAAATTACATACATTACATGTAGTAATAATATTAATTTAATTATAAGTTAATATTCTAATTAAAAATCAAGCCTACCAGAATTAATAAAGCAATAACAACTGTGTCATTACAGCCGGCCAGTGGTATGACAATAATACATATTGATGAACCAATTGATGCTATGAAATAAAATTATAATAATTAAATTATAATCAATAATTTATATATTGATATTACTTACCGATAGATTCAAAGATTTTTCTTAATAATGTTTTATCGATAATGTTTTTGCTAATTATATAGTCAGCCAATATTCCACTGATGGATACACTGAAACACAATTTTGAATTAAAAACAGAGAACATATATATTTTAATATCAATCCTAACGTGAGAGTAAGTGAGTAAAAAATGAGGAGAGAGAGAGAGAGAGAGAGAGAGAGACCTTAATGTAACTAGTACCTTAATGACAAAACTACATATACGAGGGCCACTATGAGTCCTATCTGTAAAAATTGACTGTTAAAGATTAATTAAATCAAACAAAATATTGTATTTTATACTTTATCGACGGGATAATTGAATACGGTTTGAAAATATGCTGGTAGTTTCAAAAGAAATATATTATAAATCCAAGTCATGGTAAATATGACCACAAAAAATGACCACACTTGTGTCGATGTGAACACCTTAAGCCACGGCACCGACCGCTTAGGTCTATCCTTATTGTCAGCACTTGTATTATTTGCGGCAATGTTTGAGTGAATGTAATTGAGTTCGTGCTCTGAAATCCATGGATGATCTTTGGGCTCACTTTTCACAATGAATACCCAAAATAACAAACTCAATGATGCGGTCATTGCTAATGAAAAGACATAGAATTATTAACAGTATTTATATTAAAAATAAGTATGTAACAAATATAATTACCAGCTACATAGAAAACGGATGGCCAGCCTCCGGCAAACCCATGTTCTGCCAGATATCCCGATAGGGCTGTTGTGACAATAGACCCAATATTTGCTCCAAGGGTTGGGAACGCTAGAAATGTACTGATAATTTGAACATAATGTAATGATTTACATTTTAAATTTAAATATGCTCATTGATCATACCTGCGCTCGTGGTCGGGTATCCATTTAGTGAGCAAGGCAAAACTCGAGGGAAATATAAATGCCTGGAACATACCCAACACCACACGACTGGCCAAAAGTAGCCAATAAGGAGCAGATCTGGCAATAAGTGGTGTCAATGCGTTGATCACAATAGACACGGCTATACCTCCGGCGCACAACCATTTGGCGCCGTAAATCTCGGCCAGTCGTCCGCCGACCACTTGTAACACGAGATATCCGTAGAAAAATGCGCCCAAAATTACTCCCTGTGTGCTCTCATCCCAATCAAACTCTCCCGTGTCGTGGGATTTGGTGCTGTTATCGTCAGCACCGGTAACGCACACATCACTTCCCGATGAAGAGCTGGATTTGTTAAACTTAGACATCGCAACGATGGCTATATTTATATTTGCGCGACAAATATACAGGTTAACGGTGCACAATAGAACCAAACCTGCTATAATATACCGCACCGGTATATATTTAGCTTGAGTTCTACCCTCATTATTGTTATTAATATTGACGACATTTTTATTTAATTTATCCATTATACTATATTAATTTTTTTAATAAATTCCAAATAAAATACAACTTTTATTATCATTAATAAATATTAAATAAAAAAAGAATCTATAAAATTAATTACTTTTTTATTTATATAAAAGTTTATAAACTACTTTATACGATAATTTACCTACCGCACTAATTGTACGAGATATTTATTAATCAATTAATCCTATATAATATTATATCAGATTTGAACCTTGATTTATGTTATTTTCTATATGTCGGTTATCTATATTATAATACTGTAGAATGTGACCTACCGATTAAAAAGCATGCTAAGAACTAAGTTTATAACAGACTGACATCATTTTCAATAATAAGTTTAATCCAAATAGTAATATTTTAATATACAGTATTAAATATTAATGTTTTTTTTTGTGAAATTAAATCATTAAACTTATAAATTATTTACCAATAAATTAACAACAAAAATAAGTAATGTAATATACAGATTAATAAAGGATCGTATTGTGCAAGAAATCATAATATAGTATCAAAGATATCAAATATGATATTCCGATTATGTTATCTTTATAGATATAAAGTTTATAGCATCAGTACATCCTTTACCTTGTTCATAATGGAACATCATTATGTCACCTTGATCATTTTTAATATATTACATATCTGGTAGTTATACTTAAATATAAATTAGATTACAAAATTTGCCCTAGATTTGCCCTAGGCGGACAATTACATATAAAATGATAAAACTATTTTTGTACTAATTATGCACAGGAACTTGATAGAAATTCAAGAACTGAAAATGAACTGAAAATGCACTATCCTAGTTGAATTTCACGATTTTTAAATAAATTATTAGTACCTAGAATCTAGATTTTATATATAAGGTAATAATAAGCAGTGCTTATTAAGCACTAATGTAATAAATATATTTGAAATAACAATATTATAAATTATTTATAATAGAAAATCTTAATTTAAATTATATATTTAAAAATACCATTATTTATTATCTAGTAATAATATTAAGTTCATAACTGTTTTAGAATATGATAATTGTTTTAACGGTTTTCAAAAAATAATTTAATATTAAAATAGTTTACTTAATAGTTGTATAAAAGTAAATATGAAAAATAATTTACATTGAGTTACAAAAATGACAGTTAAATCTCTTTCGACAATCACAATAATACGTTAAATTCTGGTTATAGAGCGTTCATCCGTCTCAATAGACTCATCCATATCCCAGTCCTGCCGTTTTGCTGATCCAAAAATGGCGAACACAAGTCCTCCCAATATATTTAAGGCACCGGACATATAGAAAATATAACTCCATTGCCGTCGGGTTTGATCGCTGGCGTCCAGTATATACCCGACAACGAGTGGTGTTATAACACCGGTTGTAAACGCTATGGTATTCCCGATGGCAAACACTGTGGCCGTAAAGTTGTTTGTCATGTCTATTGTACATCAAAATATAGGAATAGTGATTAAAACTAATTTATTGATTAAAATAATTTAAATAAATAATTAACAAACCGGCCACCACTGCAATCTCACCCCCGGCCGATACACCAAACAATAACATTCCCTGCAAAATATAAAATGTTAATTTTAGTCTGATTATCATGATATTCAAATTGGTTTATATTAATATTACAATCATTAATAAGGCGATAACAACGGTGTCATTACAACCAGCCAGTGGTATTAATGCCAAACTGATTCCCGCCCCAAACGTAGCTATAATATACCATGGTGGATTTAATTTAATTATTGCGATGATTAAATATAAATATACTGGAAATATTTTTATAAATTATATTTATACTTAAAATCTAATTCGTATTAAAATGATTTACTATAAATTAGTTTCTAATTAAAATAAATACTACCTGTGCATAATTATATTTACCGTTCTTGGTAATTTACACACTGATATTACACATGAATATCTACTCAATAACTTACAATCTATTACCTTAACCAACAATTGATATAGCTAAATATCATTTTGATATAAACTCCTTAATTCATCATAGACATGTGATAAAATGATAATATTACTAAATATTAAATGTTTATATTTACCAATTGTTTCAAATAATTTTCTCAGCAATGTTTTGTTCATTACATTTTTACGAACCAAATAATCGGCTAGAAATCCACTCGCGAATAAACTAATACATGTAAATAAATTGATAAATAACTAATTGAAATCCCTTCCCCTTGTATTTACTCAAACACACCAAAAAGTGCACACAAATACAACAGTAAAATACAATAGGGAGGTGGGAGGGGTTTGACAACTATAAACTATAGAGGGGATAAAAGGGGAGAAATGTGTAACGAGCTTTGTCCTCTAGTTTTTTATTATTTAAAACAATATTATAAAGTTTCCATTTGAAATTTGGTAAATTAGTTTAGGATGGTTTTTTATAAGAAGTAATCAACATATTTAAAAGAAATTTTGTGGGATGAATGACTATTTATCTGAGTTTAATTTCATGTAATTATATAATTTTTATGTCTATTGGTTGAGAAGTAGTGGACATCTAAAGAGAGCGAAGTCTAAATTTACTTTGGCACCTTTAGAAAATCAATGTAAAGTTCAATGGAGTTTTACATTGAAAAAATATTTTAGCGCAAATATTATTATCATTAGATTTATGCAAATTTTATTATAGTTTAGGTGTCTATTAGTGCATAAACTATTATTAATTTTTAAAATCATAAATAAATAAAGATTTTATCAATAATAAATTTTCCAATTTAACATAAATTTAGTGTATATTCTGTAATTTAATAGTTATATCTATTAAATAAATGTGCCAAAGCACATTTAGACATCACTATCTTTAGATGTCCACCACCTCTCAACCAATAGACATAAAAATTATATAATTACATTAAATTAAACTCAGATAAATAGTCATTCATCCCACAAAATTTCCTTTAAATCTATTGATTACTTTTTTATAAAAACCGATCCCAAACTAATTTACCAAATTTCAAATGGAAATGTTAGTATTTAGAAAAATATAAATCAGCTGTACTATAAATTATATAATAATTATTTTAGAGTAGAAATGTTTTGTGATAAACACTTACCTTATTGTCAAAACTACATACACTAATGAGCCGATGAGACCATTCTGTAATTAATGTTATTTATTTAAA